CGTCTCTCTCTCTCTCTCTCTCTCTCTCTCTCTCTCTCTCTCTCTCACAGTGTGTATAGGTCTCTCTCTCTCTCTCTCTCTCTCTCTCTCTCTCAATGTAATCGATACATTCTCACTGAAGCCAGACCAGATAAAACATTCCTTCCAGTCAAATACTGGGGCCTCATATCGTGCTGGTGAAAGTCCTTTGGAATACGTTTGGGAGCACCGAAGGAATTAAATACGACCCTACGCTACAAACTAACAAGATAGCAGCATATTATAAAAACACCATATAAATGCATACCTTCCCCTAGTGCCTCTGCTATCGCGCCACCTATCCTGATGTTCACGGACTTTATTCCAGTACTCTTTCTCAGCATCACCTGAAAAAGAAATAAAATTCAAATAAAAAGAAAAACCATTAGTCCTACTTTCAGTAAGCATTACTCAAATCAAAAGAAACTTCACTTCTCAAAAAAACAAAAAAAAAAAGCAAACACAGTCAGTAATACAATAATTTTCCTTTAAAACATCAGTCACACCAATTAAACAATATCGAGGAAACAGATGATTGTTTATTTAGAACACTATCGATTTGAGGTACACTTGTTGCAAATTAATTAATTGTTTTGTCCACTATACTAGTTCAAATGCCGTGTTAAACCAAAGAACAATTGTTTCATGCGGTCTGGACCGCATTTCTACAATATACGGTCCAGAGGTATAAAGCATCCATCTTAAAGATGGATGCAAATAGGTGGTTCATCTAAAAACAATTGTAACTAAGATGAATGCAAATAAGTGGTCCATCTAAAAACAATTATAACTAACGGTCCAAATGTTTTCTTAATATAATTATTATTTTTAGTTTTCAATTTATTTATTTATCCTATTCATGATCTCCATGTTAAAGACTATATATATTCTAAAAATTAGGATCAAATTATATTTAAAAAATATATTTATTGCCAAGTTCGCATTTATACAATATGCGGGCTGGCCGCATGCTAACCGCATCTTAAACCAAAACTCCAACTCGAGTCTATAGCTGGTGTCACATGTCACCAGTTAGACACATGTTGACACCTGGGAAGAAGGTTTCAATCTAAACTAATCTTCAGCTATCACTGAAAGCTCTACCACCTTACCAACCAATTCATATGTGAGAAACTAAAAAGAGCATAGGAAATTGTATAATATATACTAGTAAACGCAATATTCGACGTATATAAAATGATTGTACAGGTGTGCCTAACCGTATCAACTTTTTAGACTTAAGTACTAGACAATGATACTTGTTGGACATCAATGTGTGTGCATATCCATGTAACAGTGTATGCATGTAGCTTTGTGAATCCATCAAGAGCAAAAATCTGAGTGATCACAAAAGACAAATCTTGAGAACAAATAAAAGCAGAAACATATACATGTCTATATATACAGACACACAAACAATCACAAATATAAACTGACATACATGCATGATTACATACATACAATCATAGAGAGATAGGGGGAGGGGGGGGAGGGAGATGGTAATTCTTACCTGTTACGGGATCCAGGATAGCAATGTGGTTCTTCACTACCAAGCCACCCTCTTCAGCAAGCACAGCAGCAGCACGAGCCCGTTCGGTTCCTTCCGGATGCTCAAAACGAACATACCCTGACTCTGCTCCCTTCGTGTAATCAACATACTTCATACAATCCAACAAAGAAGAATCGAGCATTGTCAATTACAAAGTACAGAACCTGAGTTAAGAATTTTGTGAATGCAAGCAAGCAGTAAATGCAGGGGGGTAAAACACAAATAAGAGCATTTGTCAAACACTTACTAGCAGTAAACATTGATTTCTTCCTTTTCTTTGGTAAAGAAACATTGATTTCTCTCTGTTCCACTTTTTGAACATTTAGTTAATGATGCATGGGAAACATTATATCCAAACAGCATAAAGTTATTATTAACATGTTGGTAACTTTTTTCTCATTAACAAGGTAAAATTATTATCATTTATACATTTCATAACGCAAGAAATCAAAAGTTCTGTTTTTAGCCTCTGCAGATTCCCGACACCACGCATGAGGCTAAACAATTTCCTGTCACCTCAATATGATTAAGATTTTGCTTTTTTTATAATGATCAAAATCCCCTCCTTTATGGACCTTTCATTCCGAACTATGTCAATATTCATTTCATCATCCGTTCATGCGGTTCTGCCACATAGAAAACTTCAATATGCTTCAAGACAGTACAGTCCACGCCCCTAGTATGGATAATAAAGGTCGACTTACAGTAATTTGCTTTTTTTTTGGCTCCCTTTTTAGTTGTTGATAATTAAAATTTGTGGGTAAAGAAATAACTATAAAATAAAGGTTCACAATAGCACAAATAAAGAAAATAGCCCCCCACCTAAAATGCACGTATCACCCATGCCCCTTATGATATCACTCTTTTCCCACCCTAACTCAATGCCTCGAAGAAAATGCATAGCCCAGAAATTCGTAGGTGTGTCAATGCAACTTGGGCCCTATGCGATATGGCAGTGTCCTACAGACAGATGCATCGTTAAGCGCTAAATGTGACCACTGGACCTCCATAAATGACCAGCTGTACGAGGAGGATATCTAAAGCTTCATGAGTGGGCCCAGCTCTTGGGCACAAGGGGATGGAAAGTTGGCGCTAAAATTCCAAGAAAGGGGCTGGGGTCGTGATGGTAGCACCCCCACACCCTAGCCACCACATTGTGGTTTCCATTCCCACTGACACCAACCCAGTAACACCTTCAAAAAACAAACTCCTAAACTATTTGAAACAACAGGTAGGGGCATGTCTTCCCCACTGAATTACCAAAAAAAAAAACACCACTTGATCAAGCACTAAATGGCAGCGTTATGCATAGAGACGCATCCTCAAGCACTAATGAGACCACTGGACCTCTGTGCCATCAAGTTGGTCAATGCTTATAAATGGCACGTCTTGAAGGGGTTCATAATAATTTAAAAATCTGGCTATCTTGGATGCAATTCTCTCAAGTCTCAACAAAATAGGGTGGCTAAAATGGGCATGGCGCCATTGAGTAGCCCGGGTGATCGAGCCGGGTCGGCAAATCATCCTTGGTTAGGGTTGGGGTCCAACTTCTAGACTTGGTAGGTTGGGTCCAGGACAAGCCAAAAGTCGGTTCAATCCCAAAACCTGACCTAATACATTCTATTAATGTATTCTTTTTACATTATAAACAATACGCAATATACTAAATACAATTTTTATTTTTTATATTTTTACCCAGATCCTACCATCCTAGTCCGATCAATCTAAGACCCAACTAGGTCCAGGTCGGGAATGAGTTGACCCTTGGAACTTGGTGGTGAGGTCCAGATCAGGCCTGACCCAACCCATTTAGGACCCTACCACTGAGGCTGGAAGGAAAAAATCATGGGTCTCCTGTAAAACATTGTGAATATTGATCTAGGATTTTGGGATTTCCTGCATCCTTACTCCTTAGGCTCTCAATTATGCCAGTAACCCTTGCTACCTCAGCTCTATAATTATCAAACTAAAATGTGCTAATAATCAGATAAAAATTTGTGTGATTGAACAATTATACCTAACGTGTGAAAACATCAATTATCCATTAAAACATTGCCCACTGGTAACCATGTAATATATGGCATTCAACTGCAACCCCAGTAGATATTGGGACACTGAGAAGTGAACTAGGATCATGCTTCTATATTTCAAGGAAGATAGTCAAGGATCTACTGCAATATTCACACAAAATACGAAAAATTAACTGCACATAAGCATGGAAACTTACCTTGACAGTACCGAATTTTGCAAAGACACTCTTTATATCCTCCCGTAAGATTGTCTCTTCACTCCCCTTGTTAGTGTCTTCAAGGGTCTTTCCATCACCATCCCCCTTAACATCTTCAGTGGTTTTGTCATCACTTTCCTTATTGACATCTTCAATGGCTTTATTTTCGCTTTCCTTCTTGGCTTCTTCTGTAGCCCCATCTTCACATTCCTTCTTAGCATCTTCCATGGCTGAGTCTCCAGGTTCATTTTTACTTTCCTTCTTAGTATCTTCTTTAACCCCATCTTCACTTTCTTTCTTAGAATCTTCCACGGTTGAATCTTCGCTTGGTTTCCCAGCTTCTTCAAGGACCTTTCCTTCACTCTCTGTCTCTGTCTCAACATTACTGTTATGCCCTTTAGACTCATCCTCTGACATACTTTTCAATTTGAATGAAACTATAAGCCCCTTTGGATAACTGTTATCTTCACCTCCTGCCCTGAAAATAACAAAAACATAAGTACGTCCTAGAAACAGATAAAGATAAATTCTAGAAAACGTTCTAGAAACAAATAAAGACTAATCTAGAAAAATCCTGAATCCTACCTTCCATTCTTCTGGTGACCATGACCGAAATTTGAGTTTTCTAGGTTCTCTATCAAGGCTCTTCTTTCTGCATCAAAATCCTGCCTGCAATCGATAGATAACTGATATAAGCATATGCAAGGTACCAGAGTGTTCTAGGCTGGAGCATATACTATAAAGTAAGAATGCACTCACTGTGAGATTCAATTGCAAAGGTCAAAAACAAGCAAACTGCAAAAACACATATTTCTAGCAAAAATCCCCAAAAGTAAAACCCTGGCAGAATGATGGATCAAAATAAACATATACTCATATGTAAAATTTTTTAACTAAACAACATACATTTATATGTTATAGACACTAGGAATGAAAAGGTTCAATGTACTCTAAAGAGTCCCATCCTTTAACAGAAGCATATGGCATTCAAAACAGAGGTTCGGCCCCTTGCAAACAGATACGCAATGAAGAATGAAAAACGGGGTACCATGTTTAAGTGTACTTGTATGACTGTACTTTAGTCGTTTCTACTCTACACCTACCTAATGTATAGTGACAGGGTATTTTGGTCTTATGATCTCATGGTCAAGTTGAAATGTATTTATGCAATAGTAATGGATCCTGAGGATCAGGCATAACCTAAAGTTCATTATCCAGTTCTACGAAAATCTAACCATTAGAGGACTTCCAGGCATTGAATAGCCCTCAGTATTTACAGTTTTTATATCTGAAGCTTTTTCTATCTTTTTGTAATTTTGAAAATGAAAACAATGAAATGTTCAAATACTGTATTTTATGAGAAAGAAAAGCCTTTCTGATTCATTGACTTTCCAGTAGATTGTGACTTATCAAGGAGAAACAAGGACTCTCCAAAAATATCTGAGCATGATGAATCAACTCAACTTGAGCCAAGTTCTATTTTTGTATACGTATTTAGTGTCTCTAATTAGAGGTAACCACAGTACTGAACCTAACTGTCCAAAACTGACATTACAACAAAAGAAACTCAATGAGCAAAACAATATTCTATCAGCAAACAGCCATAAGGATAATAACTTACTTTGGTTTTAGCTCAAGTTCTGCACCAGCATGAATCAAACTCTCTTTCAAAACCTTATTTGCATCTTCTTCTGACGAAAATTCAACCAAAGCAGTGCCACAGAAAAGTTTCTTGGATGCAATATGGCGAGGTAACCTCACACTGTTCACCTGTAAACATCAAATTGTTGGTAATCACTACAAAGTCATAGGAATCCCAAAGATGAACTAATTCTTGCCAACATTTGGGTCCATAATACTATAAACAAAGCACACAATTTTCATGTGGAAAATATAACATAAGTGAAGGTTAAGAATCTTGGAGATGCAAGATATGTGGGAAAGATGTTCACTTGGAGAAATGAAACTAAAAATACACTTCTGTAAGGACTACCATCTCAGATAGACTTTTTTATACGACGAGAAGATAAAGAATCAAATATAATGGAGAAAGGAGACAAACTATTTTCAATTACTAGAATAAGTTACACAATTATAGGTTTCCATGAATGGATGAAAACCAGTTGCTAGTTTCCTCACATAACTATATTATCAAGAAAATTGGGTGGCGTTAAAAACTGAAAGGAACTTAACAAGACTACTATTGAGTAAGCAGGTTGACTAGGAAGCTCTATTCCATGCATTCAAAGATACCAAAGCAGATGAGAAACAATGTTCGTTAAACCTTATTACCAATCTAGAAACTCTAGTTGGGGTCTATCTGATACAAAAAGGATTTTCACATTCTTCGATAAAGAAATCAATCGAAATCTTCTGTCTCATGGATTAGTCCAATCATTTACATATAAAAACAGTTATTACTATTTACCAATGCACAGGATGGGGAAATGTTTGGCGTGAAACAATACAAGTAATATACGATCCAAGAGCAAAATAATTGTTATAAAACAATTTGAAAGTACGTATTTGGTACCTTCCCATAGTTTCCAAAGAAAGACTCCACATCTTCATGCTTAACATCGTATGGAAGAGGAGAAGCTGCAATGGTCCTTGAATCCACTTGCTCTATCACCTCTTCAGCATTCAAAAGTTCAGTACTCCTACCTACCCTCTTTCCTGAACAGTCAAATTACAAATAAATTTCATATCGACAAAGTGAACATAAAATTCATATCAATACAGCAATGACTGTCTATTCCCTCTGTATTATTTTGGGAGTAGTTATGCACACAGATGGTTTAACTTCAGTTCATTTTGTTATAATTTGTCTTCTGATAACTATCACAGCATAACTCTCTCCCATAAACTGATTTTCACTCTTCTCCAAATCAACAATTCAACTAATACAGTAAGTTATTGAGAAATTGAGTACAATCAACTGCTCATATTCTATATAAAAATAAATTCTGGTCAAATTCAAGTACCAATAATAGCAACGTAGGGGGCAAAAATCATACAAAAGATACAACAATTTACCATCTTCTGAGATTTTGAGAGAAGAAGAGGTTCTTAGGGTTTCTGCAACTGCAAGAACCTTATCAGCAGGGACATCATCAGCCTTGCACTCTCCGAGCCCAAGATGACTTCTCATTCGAGAAAATGCACAAATAATACTCAAACCCACCACTAAATTAGAGTCAAGGACCATGAGATCTACACGTGAGGCCTTCGATAATTCAATTAAAAAAAAAAAAAGATAACAAGATCAGAATCAAAACAAATATAAAACAGTCATGAATTTCTGCAAAAATTAGTCAGTAATCACATCACGCATGTCTGTACAGAGAAATTAACTGTACAAATATATAAACATCTAAACTTTCAAAACATTATAATAAATAAACATGAAATTTCACAAATTTAAAGGATTTAAGTGAAATTAACAAAAAAGGAGAAATTAAGGATACGTCCATCTTCACTCTCTTCAATCGTTTTCTTGAGGAATCGATCGCGAGGGAGATTGCTGTCGCTAAAGTAAAACTCAACCTGATACAAAAATGAATAAAACACAGTTGTTAAGCAGAAATCACGATGAAGCGACTGTATTGGTGTTATGGTTTATTTATCCAACAAATTGAAATAAATCAGTATTCTGCATTGATCTTCAACTGCTAAAAGAGAAACAAGTTCACACCTGACGAATAACTTTCTTTGCAGTTTCATCATCCAGATGAACCAACGACATTATTGTGCAGACGATTCGCAGGTTAAAAGCTCTGTGCGGCTCAGAGAGAGAGAGATTAGAGAGTGATGAATGGGGTTTGGAGAGACAGCGTAAGGGGAAATGGAGTTTAGAAAGAGGGAGGGGAGAGAAAGTCAGGATCTGGAGAAAGAGAGAAACGGGGTTTAGGGTTTTATGGCGTTATTTCTGTGTCTTTATACCTTTCATTCGAACTGTACTAACCTTTATTACTACACTGATTAATAGAGTAACTCTAAATGTGCAATTTGATCCCGCGGGAGCACCAAAATGGCAATCAATATTAAGGACGTCCTTATTAAAAAAACCTTGTCTTAGGTGTCAACCTCATACTTATACACTAATGAACGTTGGTCCACCTAAAGAATTGTTTAGAAGAGAGTGTTGACCCTCTAATTGATATCTATAGATGTGAAAAATCCAAAATTACAAGTCTTAAAATTAGTGGATTAAAAAAAAAATTCAACCCATCATAAAGTTTGGTACAGGAAGTATATATCCAAACAAATTTTAGAGTTGAACCTAGAGCTAAGAATTTACCAGGTTTGAATATGAAACCCTAATTTCGGATTCCATCTAGATCTAGGTATAGATCCGAAATTTGGATCTATATCCAAAATTTAGATTTTAAAAGTAATTTGAACATGATTAGTGTACAAATGGATCCGATCCAACACAATTTTTTTAAGAAAAAATATATCCGTACATCCTCTTTTAAAACATATATTTTTAAAGAGCATCCCATGTATTATATCTTTTAACCTACTAAACCAATTTTACCTCATCCTTTTGTTCAAAAGACATTCTTTTGTTTATTCTGTTTTAAATCTCCTTCTCTCTTGTTTCTCTCCAAACCACTCTTTTTTTTTTTATAAAATATTGAAAAATTATCTTTGTTGAAATAATATATTTTTTTAATATTGAAAAAAAGGGTTTGAAGATAAACACAAGAAGAGAGAGAAATGGATTTATAAATGCATAGAAAAAATGATGTCTTTTGAATTTTTATTTAAACTAAAAAAATGAGATAACGTTGGTTAAAGGAGGCTAGAAGATATAATACTGGATCTTTATGACGCAATATTTGTTTTGAAACTTTGGGTATGTTGAAAAATGGAACTTAAAAAATAATATATATAGATATTGTTATTATTTTTAATAATATATATATATGGTCATGTGAGGCTGCTTGGGTATATCTTATAGGTGAGCCGAACGGTCATGATCTGATTCTGGTGTTTCAACGATTGTGATGCAAGACCAGCTCCCCCGTTCGTATTTTATTTGAACCACCGAATTAATTATGGCATGCATGCTTTGACACCTCGTGCAGCAGTGCGGGTCTATAAAAACATGGTTAAGTTGAATGTGGCGCACTATCCTGCCCACAACTGTACATGCATAAGGATAGATGACCATTTTGTTTTGAATATGTCTATAAAGAGCTACCTAATATTGGTTTTTTACCATCAAATACTATGCAGCTGTGAAATGAAGTTTTGCATGAGGTATGATGTTCATAAAAGCAATTCGACCATGCCCGGTCCTAAGTCAATTATGTTGTCCCAAGCTCGAAGAAAGGAGGGTTGTGTTAAGTTGACCGTCAACGTTTCATAATGAGGATGTTTATAATGAAAAAAAGACCTACGTGATCTTTTGTTGGGGAAATATATATTTTTTTTAATAATAATTATTTTTTATAATTTTGGCAACAAGATCACTCACAGATGGTTTTATTACAAACAATAGAAATTTTAAAAAAATAATCTCAACTACTTTATACCATTCATACAACCTAATACTCTACTTGAGAATATAAAAATAAAAGAACTTAACAAAAAAAATAAAAGATGACCGAGATTACCTCAACCGGGCTTTTTACACCCCACACCGAGTCACCGCATCTAATGGCATAGGATCTGTGGTCTAGTTTCAATCTCGAAACGGGATAGCTGATTTCGGCTAAACTAGATAATCACCCCTTAAAAGCCCTATTAAAACTTTAACCCTCAAAATTAACTTAGAGTACCACCTAAATTTTGAATAGAGCAAATTAGAGAGAGAAGATGGAAGACTGAGAGTGAGGTTGTGTTGAGATTGGGGGGCAAGGGGAAGCGAATATTTAGATTTAGGGTTTCTTAGGGTTTTTCAATAATTTGCTTCTTTCATGAGATTGAATCTAGACCGTTAATCAAGGTGACTTGTGGAGTGAAATATCTGAGCTATCAATTTCATAGATGGGCCATCAACATTATGGAAAGTGCTTCAACCATTTTCCCATCAATATATTTAAATAAAATAAATATCATGCATTCTATAAAATTACACAATCCATGTCACATATTCTATAAGGATATATCAAATAATATCAAGTAGATAAAGTCATGGTCAATATATCCCTTCCAAGATTTGATCACATGCCACAAATCAAACTACCCTTATCTTAAAAGCAAACAAGAGAATTCAAAGAGGCTGGGGCGTGTCACGCTTTTGTGGCACATGTGGACCCCCACCCACATGCCACATGGTGGGCCCATGTACACTATGGGCCCTCATGGAATTTTATTAAAAAAATATTATTGTTAAATTTGAATAAAACAATTTAAAATATATATTTGGATTTTTATAACTTTGTAATAATAATAACTGTATTTTTATAAGTCCAAAAAATCACAAATAAAATATTGAGAGATTCATAAAAATTCAAATAATAAAACTAAAATCATTTAAATAATAAAATGAATATAATTAAATTAATATGATGGGAAAATGATCCATATGGTTTTAGAAATCCAATCTGTAATAACGAGGTACTCCACCTTCAACTGTGGACTACATACCTTACTAGCTTTATCGAACCGACCCAGTGTTTCTCATGTCCCACAATCCAAGCAGGGGTTCATTAGCAGGTCACCAAAGTCAGGTCGATGACTCAAGGGATTGCAATCACAATATGTAGATTACAGCTCTTCCCCTAGAGAAGAGTTAAGATCACCACGACTTGATGTGATCACAGCTCTATTGCGGATAGGGGTATCTCTCGCACATGCATACGCTTCACCCAAATGTTAATATCTGGCTTTCCCGAACGATTTATCAATATGCATGCCGTGTGATGGAACATGGATGAGGTTTTGGCCCCCATCTCAGTAGGCCTACCATCGCGCACAAGTGTCACATAGTCCCTCGGCCACAAGTGTCACATAGTCCCTCGGCTCATTCATATAGCATAATCTTCGACCTCATCAAGGGCTAACCCAAAACTCTTATCGGTTAATTATTTATGCCCAGGTACATTGGGTTTTCCAACTGTTTGGTCTAGATCGATAATCACAGTCCGATATAAACAAGCATTATTTGCTTAATATGGCCCTTAAAAGACCACACTCCCACTGAGTTTATGTTTCACTATAAAAGTATTTCAATACACATTCACAAAGGCCTTTAAAGGCCACATAAACCCAACACATAAAATTGGTAGAATATGAATGGTGCCTAAAATTGCCTCTAGGTTGGGTATGCCTTAGGATGCATAAGTACTAATCCACTTCAGAAATAAACACCATGCTCTCGAGCAAGCACACTATCCACTCATTTGGTGAAAAAGAAGCTAAAAAGATCCACTTACGAAAACTGTGACTATTTTTAAAGAACAAAATTTGAATTTTGAGCTCTTTAATACTTAGATCTGATTGTACAATAGCTGGATTGTCTACATTCAATTCTAAGGCATTGTTTTTTTTTTGGTTCACAAATAATGCATTTGATTTATCTCTTTTGAGGTTCTTTGCCAGGTTGAAGATGATACTTGCCCAATTTTTTGGTGCTAAAAATACCTCTTACTTACCCGAGGGAGCAAGTATGGTCCAGTTAGAGTACAAAATCATTTGAGGAGTGTGAAAAATCAAAGACCTCTAAGCAAAAAGGGACAATATACAATGGGACCATTTACATTTGGTAGAAGGTGGTTGCAGTTAATCTTGACCATTGGATGTGAATTTGGGTAGCACTATTCATTTTATAAACTAAGCTTAAAGTTCAAAACAAATATTTTTGAACCATGTGATATATCCATGCTATCAATTTTAGATTCGATGATTATAAATAATTGTGACTCTTTTGTATAAACTATAACTGATCTCGTCCTGGACAATCCCAAACAAAAAAATACATCAATGAAAAGCGCAATGAGAGACTATCTATAAACAAACAAGTATATAAATGAAAAGATCAATGAGAGACTATTTATAAACAAAAATGTACATCAATGAAAAGCGCAATGAGAGACTATCTATAAACGTATTTATCATTGTAAAATCTACTTGAGCTTCGCCAGTATAGGCCTCGCAATTGCTTGCCCTATGGGCCATCCTTGGCTTGAGGTCATAATGGGTCTCCAGAGGATAGGCCAAGTTCATCCTGGCTCGGCCAAACCGAGCCAAGAGGGGCCTAGCGGCTAACGTTATTTGGATTGAGCTAAATAGTTTAGAAAAGCCTGATGTGGCCCTTGTCCAAACCCAATTGCTAGGCTAGGATGGCCCGACTCTCGAGCCATATTTTGTGGTTTTTGAGGTATGGGCCAATCGAGGAGGGACCATGTTCAGGCATGGCAACGGGTTGGGTCGGATCCACTGAGATCTGAGCCTGACCTAAAGATTAAAATATCTATGTATTTAACTATATTAAAGTATATTCAATATATTGGGACCTGATTATATCATCGGATCTGGACACTATCAGATCTGGCCTCATATCCGAATAGTATTCAGGTCCAAGATTTGAACTTGAACCACACCTATCAATATTAATTTTTTGATTCATATTGGGGCCTGGATTGGGTCTACCCAGGTCCCGATTCCATTGCCACCCCTAGCCCGATTTTGGACCTGCCCAGCTTTTGCACAGTACCCAATTTTGGACTTATTTAACCCAAAAGAGAAAGACCCAAATATTCCCTCATGGGACCTTATAATGTAGAACTACAAATGCACCTAAAAAATCCACCAGAAAAAGTAGTTATAATATTGAAAAACCCTTTGATTATTCATCTCAATGTGGAGATGTATGATCATGGAAAAGAAAAAAAGATTTTAAGTCTCATAAATAATGTATTTTACAATATATTATCTACACCGTCCATTTTCAAGATTTTCATATGTGTATAGATCTACTTGATTTTAACTAATTATAAAATTAAAAATTTTATAGTTAGATATAAAAATAAATTTTGAGATAATCCTAAAAGCACTTGACATCATAATTATATGGCATATAAAATTTGGAGGTCACCTTACCTCTACGCCAACTGCACCCTTGACTTGTTTACCCCACTTTTTAAAAAGACCAAGTATTTTGACTTTTCTCATACACAAGGCAAAACTACTAATATCATCTGTTTAGTTCGAAACAGCAATTAACATCTCGTGAACCGTCCGATTTCAACAACGACGGTCGTAGGAACTTTAAATATAGATGAAAATTAATGATATACGAACAGTGTGGCTGTGCAGGCTCATATAAGCTTTATCAGGATCCATCCCTCTTTGCTCTTTTTCTCTGCTTCCCTTCACCTGCTAAACCTCTCTCTCTCTTCTCTCTCTGCTGCAACAACCTCTCTCTCTCTAACTTCTCTCTCTACTGCAACAACCTCTCTGTCTCTCTAACTTCTCTCTCTGCTGCAACAACCTCTCTTTCTCTCTAACTTCTCTCTCTACTCTCTGCTGCAACAACTTCTCTCTCTACTGCAACAACTTCTCTCTCTACTGCAACAACTTCTCTCTCTGCTGCAACAACCTCTTTTTCATCCCTCTGCTGCAAGTATCTTTATCTATCAACCCGTTGATTATCTCTCTTTTTCTCAAATTGTGTCTATCTCACACTGAGAATCTCTGTCTCCATCTATCTATCTCGGGTCTTTTCCATTGAGAAAGTATCTATCTCTCTCTGTCTCTGTGCAATTCAATCTTTTGGTTTGCTTGATTATTAATCCGGGATAAATCTGATTCGTGAAGAGACTAGAGAGAAGATGGTTTTCTATTTCAAGGCAAGGCCAGAGGCTGGGGACTACACAATATTCATGGGTTTGGACAAGCACGAGAATGAGGAGCTTATCAAATATGGGTTCCCTGAAGATATATGGTTAGCTCTCTCTCTCTCTCTAACCCTCGCGCTCTGATATAATGATATATAGAATTGAAACAGTGATCAAGACGGTAGGTCAAAATTTACCCATAAAAATGATGGAAAGTATCGCCCTATTTGTTAATTTGATTTCCTTAACAAAAATTGTGCTTTCCCTTTCCCTATATGTACTCTATTTCCTCTATCTTTACATATTTATTTGATAATCTGTGATGTTCCTTTATCTCTCTCTCCACAGTTCATGTTCTATTTACCTGTTAGTCTGTAGTTTTCAGTAAGATCGATGGAAACAAAGTCTATATATATGACTGGAAACAATTCATATAAATATGACTGGAAACAATTCCTATATATATGAATGCCTTGATAAAATAAGGGGTGGAGCTTTCTTTAAGTGGATTGCATCTGTTCTATTGTGAACAATTTTGATTTGTTTAAAGAATGTTTTTTCCCGCTATTGCGACTTGGGTATAATCGATTTATTCATTTTGTTTTTGTTCTTTTTTTAGGCGATTTTGATTAGGATGCATAGTTTACTGTATAGCTTTAGAAATTAGATGAGTTGATTATTTGAAGAATCTGTTAATTAGACTGCTTGGATGTACCCTGTATTTTCTTATTGGGTGGTCGAGCTTCATTAATGCCTTGCCCAATTATCAGTAATGTAAAAATTCATTTTTTAAAGAAAAAAGAAAACAGCTTGCTCAAGGGAAGTTGTTGCCCTATTATTATTTATCTGCTTATGATAAATAAAGTTATGGACTTATTTTGGCAATGGCATCAGCGCAGGAGTACATAGAGATGAACATTGCTAAAGAAAAAGAAAGTGCATAACAACCACCTATTCAAATGTATTGACCACCTAATGTAGAGTGCAAAATAGCAATAGACCTTATGACCGTACCTCCAATCATCTAAATCCATATAATGAAATGAAGAGCTATGTGAGAGGATTTTGTGGTTACTAAGTATCATGTTATGATCTTATCTCGCAATGTACTATTTTCAAGAATCAGGTGGTTCGATGGATGGCAACCACATAAAAGGAGCATCTTGTGGGCAAAAATGGTGAGATAGGTTGGGTTGGTGATGATGATTATTACTGGGTGATCTTACCAGTGTTTCCAAACTGACCAGTCTGAAACTCTGAATTGTACTTACCTGTCTCATTCATAACTGGCTTCTTATCGGATTTCGATGGCCTTGACATGGGTAACTGAGACTTGATCGGGTCTTGATGAAGTCCACCTAAGATTTTTTTCCTTAAGTCACCAATGCTGTCCAACGTTTGCATTTTCGGACAACACTTTCGCCCACTCCTCTCTAACAAACTCTTTTTATCTCAGTTCTCTCTCTCTCTAACACATTTGCCCGGCTTTCCAAATCTCTCTCTAGCCTCGCTCTTTTAAAATCCTATTCTCAGTGTTTCTTATATTTGCAATTTTTCTCTTGGCATCATTTGCAACTTTTTCTCTTCCTTTATTTCTCTGTGTTTCGGAATTTTTTCTTGTCCATATCTCTCCTCGTTTCTTTGGCAGACATATCTCCCTTTCCCTCTCTCTCTTTGCACTTCATCTACTCCTTTTCTTGTTCATTTCTCTCCTCATGTCTCTTGCATACATCTCTCTCTCCCCCCGCCCCGTCCCTCCCTATGTCCTGCAATAATGTCGAAACGCGACAAAAAATCAAAGCGACCTCAACAGTCTGAGAAATGAAAAGGTGGCACACCACCTTCTTCTAGGAGCTCTCTCAAATCCCTTCAACAATGGCCAAAACTCCCAAAGAGGGAGAAGTGAAATGAAGTGAGCTATCCGGCAATGCAAACGCCAGACAGCATTGGTGACTTAGGAAAAAAAATAATCATGTCTGGTGTTTTTTTTGCCAGACAACAACTTAGGGGCCGCCGGGGGGGTGGGGTGCTTGTAATATTGGGCAAATGTCTTCCCAAATGGTAATTGACCCCAAATAAGGTCTGTACATAATTTGCTCTTCATATTTTTATTGTAAAATAAAAATTAAAGGAATTCTTATAATTTGAGAATTTTCATTGTATATGGAATTAAATTTCATTTTGTTAAAGGATAACTTATTTCGGAAGGCCTGAATTTAAAAGGGGAAAAAACGATTGTCAAAAATATAAACTTGTAACTAAAAAATAAGAAATAAGCATGCCTCTTTTTTTTTTTTACCTAAAAGCATAAACTTAAAGAAATCCAAAATTGTGCAAGGACAGTTTCATATTTTGTAAGAGAAGAAAGATCTAAAGTTTATTACTTAATCATACAAAATCGATGGCTTTTATTGCATGATGGTGACAAAGATTGTACATCCTAAGAAATTTAGTATATACTACAATTATGCATTGACCTTTCAATTTATTGTGTAATTTAGCTTAAGAATTATATACTCTCCTTAATTGTTCAAAAAAAAAACAAACTATATACTCTCCTCAAACAGAATTCAGGCAAAGAAATGGTGAATAATGATTCTAAAACCATTGCTTTGTGAATATATACCCACGGTCTCCATGTCCTTGCACTCGTGAACAATGTAATGTTCACATTGGGGGAAAGGTTTTAGATTGGTTTGCTTTCATTTTCAAGTAGTTTGGTCAATCTCTTTTCTCTGAGGACACTTACATTTTGAGAAGTACATAGTATCTCCTAGTGTAGCTGGAAAAAGTTTACCTTTTAAGCAGTCTTTGTTGAACTTTTCGATTGAATCTTAAATATGCCAAATATGCATGATTTTGTTGGATTGGAATTTTGAATTTTGCTTGACATGGATGCAGATGGAAGTGAATCCATGGTCTAGTGATAAAACCTGGTTTTAAGAGTGGAGTCTAGGGTTTGAACCTACTCCGTGCAGATCGTCCTCAACTTAAAAAATAAAATACTTCTTGCAAAACAACCTCACCTACGTTAAGAACTAAACGTACAAACAGTTTCTTTGGTTTGATAATTTATTGGGGTCTAGCATGTAATGCACTTGATGAAATACTATGTTGATTCTTTCGTTTGTTTTCCCTCCTCATTTTCCTGTTTTACCTTTAAATTATCAATATATTGTTAGTAATTCCCTAGACTTCATTTGTCATGGAGCAAATGTTGATGGTTCATGGTCATATGTGCAGGTTCCATGTTGATAAGATGTCATCTGCTCATGTTTACGTAAGATTGAACAAGGGTCAGACAATTGATGATATTAGTGAAGGTTTACTGGAAGATTGTGCTCAGCTTGTTAAGGCAAATTCCATTCAAGGCAAGTATAGCGAAATCCCTTTCCTTATTAATCCATGTTCTCATGTTTTTACATTGTCGATCATCTGGCAATTTCTTCTAGCTCATATTTTGTGTGCTTAGATTGGCTTTGATGCATGCTAATCATGTCTTTGGGGAGTTAATATAGATTATGTTTTCCTATCATATTGGAGGAGGATTCTTGTAGAGTTCTGATGCTAATATTGAATGAAAACATTTATGAACTAATACATGAATATATAGTTACTTTTACTTTGATCATTGATCTTATAATGCCTGTATATGTGGCCCCCTTGCTCCCCTTTTATATGCCTAACAGGTCTTCTTGGCAGGTAATAAGGTAAACAACGTAGATGTTGTGTATACCCCATGGTACAACTTGAAGAAAACTCCTTCTATGGATGTTGGGCAAGTTGGTTTTCACAATCCCAAAATGGTGAGCAGCTAGTATTTGTGATATTCAGGTTCTTATGCTTTTTGAATGTACGCACACATATAATTATGCCTCTATTACGAATTTATCATTCACATAATCCGGATGTTGAGCAAGTTGGTTTTCACAATCCCAAAATGGTGAGCAGCTAATATTTGTAATATTCAGATTCTCATGCTTTTTGAATGTACGCACACTTACAATGATACCTCTATTATGAATTTATGATTTACATAATCCTTTCTTATTTTGTTATAAATTTATCATTCATAGTTGGTCGTGTTTCTTCCACTTAAAAGTCTGTTTTGCCTTAATATAATAACAATAACAACAACAACAACAACAATAATAATAATAATAATAATAATAATAATAATTATTATTATTATTATTGTTATTGTGGTGCTTTATATCCATTTCAAGTGTATGGGATGGGATTTGTTTCTACTGGTTCGCCTAGTGTAACGTGTTTTAAAAAAAAAAATTAATAAGTTTTGGAACCCTATGTTGTAGTGAGTGTTGAACTTTATTTAGGGATAGCATAACATGCGCATAATTTGTATTTTGTAAGCTATAAAAGCAGAGCATCTTAAAACATAAGCCTGAGTTGAAACACAGTATGTAAATGACAGGCTAACTAGTGTGGTTCCAGTTTATCGCTACCTATGTTTGGAGAATGAATGGTGGATGCCCTGCCTGTGTATCTTCCAGCATACACATTGTACGTGTGCTTTGTATGTCCTTTTATTTGGCAACACTTAGACTTCCTGTGCTGTTGTCTGTAACAATTTCATTTCCCTTTTATTTCTGATATGGGGTTACCATTGGATGGTGCTTCAAACTAAATATTCAAGAAAGAGAAGATAATGATAAAAGAAGAAAAAAAAGATTAAGCATAGGACAAAGTAAACTTTGTGAGGTTTTCATTGACTGCTGGTCTTGTTGTTAGAGAATGGGTGCAATGCTTGCAGGAAAGTAAACTCTTTTTTTTGTTGTTGATAATTAGGGAAATTTGGTTATTGATGTGGCCGATCATGAGAATCCGATTTCCATGCTTGAAACTAAGTAGGCCACCTGTGGGTGCCTTGCATGGTTTTCACTTGTGTAGGTGTTTACTTCTACAATTGAATTGGTGTACAATTATGGACTCTTGGTTACATGTACATCAAATAGCTTGAGGGTACAGTTTGCCACCTAAATGTAAATTGATCCTCATTATATGAGTTTGAAGCTCAGTATTGGGATAATTATTGTTAATTGCAATTGCACATTTTTATCTAGACAACTGCTGTAACCTCCCCACATCAAAAACATATAGTTTAGTTATTGTAATTGTTCAACTTAAGAAAGTGTCTGCAATAAAATCAGACAACAGCTAGCAGCATTAAAAATTTTTATGTATGACTCTAAAGAAGCCAACTGGACTAATCAGCAGTATCTTTCTAATCTAATGTATTTGGAGTAGAACATAAACAAATGTAGCATGTGTCAAGGATTGACTTTGCTGTGCTTCCCATATATCAAAGAAAGATGTGTCATTCATTCATGCATCTTTGTATTTCCAATGAATGATGTGACTGGCCATGACTATCTACTTTTTGACATACATGAATTGACTAAATCAAAACATTAGGGGCATGAAAGACATTTGGCTGGGTGACTCAACTACAAGCAATTCAATGTTCATACAAGACCGTGCAATGACTCAGAACAATAGTTTGAATGAGCATAATGATAGAAGGCGATGAAATTAATGGAAGACTAGAGTTCTCTGTTCTTCTGGAATATTGCCAATGCCCATGACATGTGTAGTTCTATATACGTGTGTTTTCAGAGGGAAATCGCTTGGGCAATTGGCAATGTGGTTTATGGGTAGTTTCAGGAATTGTACACTTCAGAGATACCGAAGCTGAATTTGGATGACATTAATTCTGATGGTATCCTGTAATGCTGTACCACTTGAAGATGGCATTTTTTGTTGAAATGCTTGCTGCTGACAAGCCACTTGTTGTGTGCTAGCCCTTTTTCAAACTTCCTTGTGTTTTTGGATAGGTTTTTTATTGGTAATTTAATCATTCTACAGGACATCTTTTTGCTACTATTCCCATTATGGACATGGAAGTATTTATCACCAAACATGTGTATTACTGAAGTATGGCTAGCAAAGATAGCATTGTGGATGTAAGGGTACCCGTGTCAATATTGGCAATGGTATGATAATGATACTTGTATGAGATACAAAAGACATGTGCTTCCCTTTTTCTTTTTTTTTCTTCTTCTTTTTATTTTTCTTGTCACTTGGATGGTTGAGATTGGGATTGAACAAACAACCATATTTCTGCGTCTTTACACTAAAAAAATGGCCAGTAGCCAATCAATCCTGTTATATAGAGGGAGGTCTAATGGGATCCAGTGCAATGGTGCTGGTATGATGATTCCCTAAGAGGGATGGACGAGGCAAGCCCCTTATAAAATATAGAAATGTATATATGGACTAAGCTATTCTATAGTATAAGAAGGTTAAGCTACTATGATTGCATATTGCAATCGAAGCATTCTGTGATTTACAATGCAGCTTTATGCATTTAATGTTATATACAGTATTCTATGGCTTGCATTTAGTTTTACCTACCATGATCTGGACTATCTATTATATAACACATGTTTATTGATAATTGGTTGATGTAGGTACGTTGGAGGAATTAAGTTGGACATATCTTATTCTTTCTATTAATAATAAAGACTGATAATGGTGATGGAAGTCTTCTTTCATGATGCTTTTATCTTATATGCAGGAGAATAACAATATTAAAGGCCCTATCTGTCTGGATATTACACATTACTGCAGCTTGTTTGATGATGGGTCCTGCAATTCCATAATGAATATTCTCTCTAGGTTTTGATCATTGAACTCTCTCTGGACTCTATCTTGGAAATGGCTTGCCTCGAATAAACTTGTTTTGACTTACCATAGAAAGAAAAGAGAACATGAGAAGTGATAGAAGTCTTCTGTCATGATGCTTTTATCTTATATGCAAGAGAATAGCGATATTAAAAGCCCTATTGTCTGGATATTACACATTACTGCAGCTTGTTTTATTATGGGTCCTGCAATTCGATAATGAGATTTTCTCTAGGTTTTGATTATTGAACTCTCTCTGGACTCTATCTTGGAAATGGCTTGCCTCGAATAAACGTGTTTTGACTTACCATAGAAAGAAAAGAGAATATGAGAAGTGAACTAAGTTCTGCTTGAGTATAACTAGATTTAGTCCATGTGTAGGTTCGTACAGTGAGGGTGGAGAAGCGCATAAATGAGATTGTAAATAGATTGAACAAGACAAAGGTTGAAAGGAAGCCAGATCTGAAAGGTAATACTTGGCAGTAAGAGATCTGTAGGTCATTCTTTTTCTCTCTATGCGCATTCCTGTATGCAGTCATGCATACCATAATTAACTTAATCTGTATGTGTGTGTGCGTTGTGCTCGCGCACATATGTATGTGTTGTGTGTGCGCGCGTGTCTCTGTGAGAGAGAGAGAGAGAGAGAGAGAGAGAGAGAGAGAGATGTGGGAGCCTGCAAATTCTTCTGCCTCACTATACATTTTTTGAATGATAAAATGAAAATGACAAGAATAATGTTCCCTCAGAAAAAAAAATGATGAGAATAATGTACCGGTGTACCTTTTCAATTAGAACCCAACACAATCCATACTTTCTTTCCATTTTTAACAGGAGGAAACTGCCTTAAGTTCTGTTTAAATGACGAGCTATCAATTTCATGCTTGTTGGAAACTGGGCTTTCTTTATCTTATTATTGTTCTTTTTATGATTTGACAACCAGCCGAACGGGAAGCTGTTAATGCTGCAGAAAGAGCAGAGAGGAAACTTCAACTGAGAGACAAGGTAAACCCTCTTGCCCAAAAAGACTTTAAACATATTTATCAGATGATTATAGTTTGAATCCTAATTAGGTCATTCTTATTGCTGCAAGTGGGGAGCAATTATAGCCATGTTGTTGGGATTATATCTGCTTTTTAGAAGATTATATATAGCATCGAGGGAAATTATTACTCATTGTTATTTCCTGTTTTATTTTAATGTTAGAAACGACGTGAAGAGATGGAGAGACTTGAAAAGGAGAAACAGGTGGAGATACGGAGCTACAAGGGTCTCATGGTTTCAGACAAGATGACTTCCAACAAGCAGATTGCTTCAACAAACAAATCTCTGCAGGAGCTCGAAGAAGACTTCATGTGAGGTATGGCGAACACCACAGAGAGAGAGAGAGAGAGAGAGAGAGAGAGAGAGAGAGAGAGAGAGAGAGAGAGACGAGTGTACGTAGTAAGTTAGTAAGTATATACTACGTCGTCTTCGTTTCGTCGTTGTTGTTCTTCGTTGTCGTTGTTGTACTAAGTTAGTACTACTTACTACT